TATACACGCAGGGATCGACCAGAATATATTTACCATTGGCAATGTAATAACGTAACTCCCGGCCGCACTGGCCACCCAGTACACCGCCCAACGTGTTTCTACATGCAACCACTCTTTCTATCAAAGGATGTGAATTAGCAATGAGTAGTACAATGATTCTAGGGCGGTGTGCTAGGGGTGGCCGGTGCGGCCGGGAGGTACGTTAACAGGACTCTTTTACTTAAGGTTTTGTAGGGAAGACATACAAATATTTGGCTGTCCCGAAAAGCAAGTTGACAAGGGGTTCCACTTTTCTTGATACAGCAATCCTCAATGCAGATTTTCTACCCATTTTTAGAGGTATTCACCTGTACTTCCATGCGAATGCAGAGGTAACTATTCTTTGGTGCAATCTGATTTTATCCTATTGAATACTAAGCCTTCTATTTATTTTGACTTCGTTTTCTCTGGTTATTCCTGACAAATATTTTATTCTTCTTGCGGAGTGCACTTTTACTCAATTGTTTTACCAAAAAGCTCTAATTGACGTGAGGCCATACGCTCTAGTAAATGGTCTTCTTCGAGAGGTGTCAATATTGCGTTCAGTAGTCTTGTAGCCGTGGCCTGGAAACTTTCCACCAATAGTAATAATTTTGAACTTGAAAAACGATCTGGCTGTTCGAAGGTGGGTTTGACTGAGTGCATTGTATTAGAATTCAGTAGTGGTTTTGGGCCTTCAGGGGGAGGGAGAGTGAACGAGCAGCGTGAAGATAGACCGGCATGAATGAGCACTAAGCCCCGAAAAACATGAAGAGCGAAAAAAGAATACAAAAACATACAACAGAAGGGATTCGCTGGTGGTCACCCACCCAACTACTAACCTCCCGGCGTGTGGCTTAAGTACGGCTGAGCGGACGGGAAGCCCTGTTCTCCACACCCTGTGGTCGTATGTGCTTACTTTCAGTTATATGCAAATTATGTGCTAGTTTCTGTGAACTTTGCTGCCTAACTCCTGCTACCGGTTGATGGTTGGGTGGATTGTTCGACATCTTCTTATGGACAAGCACTTCTCGAATCTGCCTTGCTTCATCGAGGATGGCGCGCAGACTGACCTTCGAAGAACGAGTATCGTCCATAGTATCAGTCCAGGAATGATCGAGGACCTCAGACAAGGCAACGAAACTGCTCCAGCTAAGAAGAATGCTCTCAATACCTCAGGAATCTTTCTTATAGCATCTGATCAATTTTCTTCTAAGCATGGTTAACCGCTGGAGCCAGCAAGGCTCTTCAACCGAATATATCATCAGCACTAAGGGCGCGATTATAAGTGCCGTATAGACCGGGATGGTAGAATCCGGCGGCACCACCATCCTGCACGGAGAAAGAATCAGCGAGGGACGATCTCCTGACTTCATGTCCTTGTTGATCTTCACGACCATTTGACAACATCTAAATAGGTCTGCGGAGAACAGTAGCTTCCCCAAGATTGCCGAAAGGTCCTCCGCCACAGCAGGATCAAAGCGGGATACTACTAGATTTTCCCGCGCTAGCGACGGTTCTCTTACTCTGCAAGCCATGAAAGTGGATAAATTCATTCATGTTGCGGACGCAACGGACCCACTTGATGAAATTCATAAGGTTCCTGAGATATTTTGAGGTCCCTATCTTGCTTGGCTCGGAAGTTCCGTTCATTTTGCGACCAGGACACGTTGACGTCTATTCTTTTGAAGTGGACCGCTGCTCAGCTCCTGTTTACACAGTCATTGGGAAAGGGTATCCCCATCCGGTATTTTGTGGCAAGGCTTTGGAGGAGATGGGCAGAGTTAGGTTACCGTTTGCGTTTTATTAGACTCTAACCGAGGTAGTCAATTTATATAACGCGTCCTCATAGTGTGTGATTGCCCACAATATCAAGACACCTTTATAGAAACGTTCGAACAAAGCGGTCTCCGTGTTTTCATTAGGTTTATTCTTTTCTTCTTCTATCTCGTAGTCTTTGAGCAGTACATAGAGCGCATAATTCATCAACTTACACAATTCGAAGTTTCCGTAAAATACTCTTTCTTGGATAGAAGAGTAGTTTCAACCAGCCTGTCATACAGTCCGGGTGAATTATCTTTGTCCTTGTGCTCCTGTCCATACTAATTTATCGTAAAGGGGCAGTGCTGGGCATGGAAATGTGCTAAAAGGGTGTTCAGCATGATCGAGTGAAGAGTGGCGCAAAATTGGGCGATCGACCTGTCAGTAAGACTTTCTGATAGTGAGATTCTATAGACATAGCGTTGTATTAGTAATGGATATCGCTTTTTGACGAATAAGTTGTCGAGGCCCTATCTGGAACGCGGGGAAGATGCGGGAGACAGTATGGAAGGTGGTTCCGCTTGATATGACTATCAATTGTGCCCCACAAAACTATCTTTCTGTTTTTGCGGAACAAGCTGCCTTATTTATCTGTTTCCCCGCATTTTCGTATCCGACGCCCTGAAGGCTGTTACAATGTAATCTATCGTCCTATAGGGTTGTGCCAGGACTGGACTATGCCTAGGAGCGTGCCCGATAAATATTGGACGGCCAATTCTCAGATTCAACCATTCTGACTCTCGTGCTCTTATATGCCAAAATTCAGCCTGCCATGAAGAAACAATTAAGTCTTGATAATAGTCCGGAAGACATCCTATCAGCGGAGTCACAAGCTGGCGAGCTCTCCTTCTTGGAACCAATCCAGGATGATGCGGTATTCGGTGAAATCCGCGAAGGAGATACCAACTATCGTAACGTGAGCTCCCTCATAATGTCTCCGAAAAGCTAGCCTGTACTAACGAAGCCCAGGTGAGCTGTATAGGAACCGTTGCCCTTATGTTAAAAGTGCAAATTGGCCTTGGAGTTCTCACGATACCCAGCTGTTTCGACATCCTTGGGATAATACCTGGAGTTATTGTTCTGCTTGCAATTGCAGCGACGACAACCTGGTCGAATTGGATGGTAGGCGTGTTCAAAATACGCCATCGTGAGGTCTATGGCATCGGCGATGTTGGAAAGATGCTCCTTGGGCGCGCTGGATACGAGCTGTTCGGCGGGGCTTATATCCTATGTGAGTGATTATGGTGCTTAATTTAATCTGGCCTGTGTCCTGACCTACTGCAAGACTATATCTTCACTGGTGGATCTGCTCTCTTGAGCATCTCGATCGCCTTTAATGCGCTCTCTGATCATGCAGCATGCACTGCCATATTTGTGGCTGTTGCAGCCATCATTGGCTTTGCCTTCTCTAGTATCCAGACTCTTGCCCGTATAAGCTGGCTCGCCTGGATAGGTGTATCGTGCGTTATCATTGCAGGCAAGTGTGTTTTTGCAGATGCGGACTTGGATTTGGTCTAACCATTGCCTAGTATTTATCGTAACGATCGGTGTCGGGGTCCAGGGCCATGCACCAATGACTGCAGGTGTCATCCCAGAATCCGACTATAAGCTCTTCGGCAGCCCAAGCTTTGTTGAGGCCATGACTGCCGTGTCAACGATAACTTTAGCATACGCCGGGGCCCCAGCATTCTTTAACGTCGTCTCCGAAATGCGTGATCCGCATCTCTTCACTAGATCCCTCACCATATGCCAAGTTATTGTCACCGCAATCTACATAGTGGTCGGAACAGTTGTATACTACTACTGTGGTTCCCATGTAGCCTCACCAGCTCTTGGCTCTGCTGGACCCTTGCTCAAAAAGATTAGTTATGGTTTTGCGCTACCGGGGCTTTGTGTTTCTGCGGTCCTATTTCTTCACGTGAGTCTTCATTCCATTTTGGTCCCTGATTGAATACCCATCTAAGGCTCCCGACCATATACAGTTACCTTCTAAACACATCTTCATGCGCATTCTCCGGGGTTCTAGACACCTTACTGCGCCGACCCCAACGCATTGGATCACCTGGATAGGCTCTACGTTTAGTATAACTACAATCGCGTACATTGTCGCCAGCAGCATTCCCGTATTCAGTGATCTTGTATCACTTGTTGGAGCTCTTCTGGCCACATCATTATGTTTCCAGCCTATGGGGTTTATGTGGCTGTACGATAACTGGGGACCCGGCAAGCGAGAGAAATCCATGAAGTGGTGTCTATGTGTGGCCTGGTGTGTGTTTATAATCCTAAGTGGGGTCTTCTTGACGTTCGGGGGCACTTATGCTTCGGTAGTGAGCATTATACAGTCTTACCAGGCGACCGGAGGATCCTCTGCTTGGTCTTGTGCCGATAATGATAACTAAGTAACGTTCAGTCTTCATGGATATATGCAATTGATGAGTTGAGAATTGAGAGGGATTTCTGTAGCATAGGCTGTTACATTGGGTGGTGTTCATGCTTTCCTTCACCCTTGTTCATGCTCTGTAGCACACGGAATAACTTGTGGGCATCTTCGTATCCCGAATACATCCCATATTCTGGAATGCCACCTAGTCTGATAGGTGAAGCCAAGGGTAAACACAGCCTCCGGATTATACTCCAGCCTGCAGCAGTGGAGGAATGCAAGCTGCAGCAAGACTTGCCGGATTGGAAACTCCCGCGGAGCCACTTGCCGTTTCCACTGGAGATATCAACCACCCTTGATAAGGTTCAGCGTTCCATAATATCCTGTGTAATCGCTGGACTAGAGATGAAGACTGATACGAGGCAGTAAGTTTATCATCAGTGTAGAGCGACCAATGTGATCTTGCTTTCAGCAGCAATATGTGGGTCTTTGACCCCGTTGCCTCCACCGTGGTCTACTGTGGAGATTGCAGGGTCAAACATGGTTAGTAACCGAGAAAAGAGAGCATAAACCCTTTGATGTATTACTCCAAATACATACGACCATAGGGTGTGGAAAACAGGGCTTCCCGTCCGCTCAGCCGTACTTAAGCCACACGCCGGGAGGTTAGTAGTTGGGTGGGTGACCACCAGCGAATCCCTTCTGTTGTATGTTTTTGCATTTCATTTTTGAACTTGATCATTCCTATGTGCACTGATAATATATACCATGGAACAAAACACTTGCATTGTGGCCATGTGAAGTATGCGCCAGGCATAACTTACGAAGCCAAAGGGAAGTAAAGACTGACGCCGGGGTAGTGATATCAGGTGTTGACATGCATCCATAACAGATGATTGATTGATCCTGTCACTCATAAGCGAGTGGGCTCAAAATACGGCCCAGATCGCTGGACTGACGCTTCGCTGAGTTGATCAATCTTCACAACACCCTCTAGGAGTTGTAGGGCCATTGCGAAACCTGCGCCTCGCCCAATGTCTTGAAGACGGCGGATGACCCACTTTCTGGATTTGCGTTTGGTGACGGGAGACTTTCCAACCATATAGAGGGTCCAGATCAAAGAATAACCGCCCGGCACGCTGGCAGTTGACGTCAAATTATAAGAGACATGTTGCCCAGATACGAGCGATACATAACCGAGCATCTGTGGAACGGTAGCCAGCATGTCCTCCCCGAGACTTGTCATGATTTGTACTGTCTCTTGGTACTTCGCATCCAGGGTCATTCGCACCGCTGCAGGAAGTTCGGTGGCTAAAACCTTCGTCAAAATGGAATATAAAATCTCAGAGACGATCATTCGGATACATCGTGCATTGTTCCAGACTCGTATCGCCCAGGTGGATTGGTAGACGTCAAATCGCCCCTCGTGAAAGACTTCGGGGTCTGCTGTTGGCTCATAGATTGTTGTGTATGGGTCTGCTAGGCTGAAAATTTCAAAGAGGCGCCGAAACTCTTCCTGGAGGATAATCGCCTCTTCCAGCTTTTCCGACCACGAGACTTTCGATTTGTTTTGTGTGACGCTGTAGAGAAGGTTTACACACTTGGTAGCTGATACTCCGAGGAGCCAGAATGGACTATAAGCATCGGCGTGCTTGGACGCCTCTTCCTGCAGCGCCAGCAAGTCCTCCGGAAACGGTTGATTGCCGTGTAGACAAGTGATCACCGTGTCTGCGCGTACTTGGTTGAACATGAGTGTTGCGGCTGTACTAGTAAATTGGCTCTTGCCGCGGAGAACCACCAGTGCGGCAGCTCCTCGGACATGTCGCACCCACGACTGGAAATTGGAGACGTGTTCAAATACCCCTAGCGAGATGACAGACATCAGGGTGCTGTCTTTGACAGAATTCACAGGTGACGCCAATGCCGTGTTAACATTCGCAATTGCCTCGGAGTATTTGATGCGTGCGTGCCGAGCCAGCTCGGGTTGTTGATTGGAATTGGCCAGTGCCACGAGGCCCACCGCCGCCATGCTGGCCACCAGTGTGTAATGCTCCGCCTCGGCATTGTAAACCGCGGGGATATAGTTGAAAAAACCACGCGAGGGTGTCTGGTTGTTAATGACAAAGTTGTGAAGGAAATAGTTAACACCGATCTCATCCAGGCTGGGCCCTAAGCCAGGGGTGGGTGGTGAAGGGGTGCGGCTTGAGGTTGTCGAGCCATTGCGTTTTGCTCGTTTCTCTTTAGATCGCTTGATGGTCTTGTCGGTCTGGTCTCGAAAAACGAGTTCCCATTCATCGCGATAGCCCGGACATTTTTCTCGCATGCGGATGCATTGTCCACAGTGGGGTATCTGCTGGTCGCACTGAACCGAGATCGGCCCCTGTCAGCATTTATTTGGCCGCGAAACATGAAAAAGCAAAGTAGCAAAACACAGGAATACCCACGCGTCGCTTCACAGCCCGACAGTTTCCACAATTGCGGGAGGCTCTTGGGCGAGGCGCTTTTCCCGATGCCATTTCTCGCTGTCTGCGCCGTAAGGATACGTTGACAAGGGGGTTAGAGGGGAAACCCCGAGGATTGTGATGAAGTTAAAGAACCTCCTCCCCCGGGCTGAGGCTGACTAACTAACCGCGGGTAAAGGAGGCTCAAAGTCGGTTAAGCAGTTTCGTTGAAGAGCTTAACCCTTGAACAAGCTCAGCTCCTCTCCTCTAGCCAGCCTTGTCTCGCCCCGCGCTGTGTGTCTAATGTCTATGCCTTGCCACGTGCACTACGACTCTTTGGGCAATCCTGAGCACAATCTGGCGACCCACGATGCAGAGACTCAGCTTCCTCCGATACCCAAACCGCCCCCACTTACTAGATTTTGACGACGGCATCTTGTTGTGGGCTTTGGGAGGAAAAGGCAGACGATCGTCACTGGGTTCACCGCATTGCCAGCCGTGGCGCCTTAGCGGCTTAAAGAAAGGGAGGAATGCGGGAAGACCCACGGCCAGTGACGGCGCTTCACTCGTAGCTGGGGCGCAGCCATGGTTCCGGACTGGACTTTTTGCTTGTGTGACCGAGTTTCAGCTGGAATTCCACTTGACTTTATCTTCCCTTCCCGCTCGCGCTATTCCTTATCCGGTAGTGTAGATGCTCAACCAACCAGGGTGACAATCTCATCAAGTCTGAAGTATAACAAACAATCTTTTTGACAAGGCTGTGTTCTTTAGGTTTATGACGCTCCACAGCATATTCAGTAATATAAAGAGAGACAGGAATCATGTCTTTCAAATCCCAGGCAGATTTCATTTTCCTATCCACTCTTCCTCTTCTTGTCACTTCATCTCTAGCAGTATCACACCTTTCTATCTTCTATAATAACAACTACAGCAACAATGGGCACTATTACCTATCGTGATGGCATTGCTATTCTGCAACTTGTTGTTTTCCCCTTTATCTTCGGCGCTGCAATCTTCATATGGAGCCGGGCTGGCTTGAGGGTTGGAAGCAAGATCTGGCGATACCCTGTTACACTCTCTCTCATTCGAATCGCCGGTAGTATCGCGTCGCTGTTGTCAATCAACCATAATTCCAAGGACGTCGAGATTGCCATCGCAGTATGCGAGTTGATTGGTCTCGCACCTCTGCTGTTGACCTATGTCGGAGTTCTCAGACAAATGTGAGTCCCCTCGGACAAGTCGCAGAGATACACATGACGCTAACAACTCGATCAGTGATGTCAACCAAGTGGTGCCCGTCAAATGGATCAACATTGTGTCTATCGTCGGTATCATCGGTCTCATTATCGGTATTGCGGGAGTCAGTACCGCAAGTGACGACGGAGGCAGCTACCAGCCAAGCAACACTGTCAAAGCATCCATGGCTATTTTTATCGCTCTATTCGTGGTCTATCATCTGCTCGCTGCTTTCATGTACCTCCAGATGGGTCACCTGAAGGCCTTCCAGAAGAAGTTGTTCCTCGCCATCATCCTCTCCACTCCTTTCATCCTGGTCCGCGTTGTCTACGCAGCGATCGGCGACTTCACCACTATCGAGCGATTCTCCATTATCAGCACTAATGGAAGCCCCACCATCTACCTGGTCATGGATGTGCTGGAAGAGATTGTTGCTATGGCCATCACAATGTTTTTGGGCATGTCGGCTGTGCTTGAGCCTGACTTTGTGCGCCTGACCCCGGCCCAGTTGGACTCTGAGCCGAAGACTGAGGTCGCGTAATGTGTTGAATTCTGCAGTGAGCTGCAGCGATTCTTTTTGTTATGAGCATGATTATGCACGTGTGCATTTTTATTTACCTATTTATTGGTTTCTACTGCAGCGCGAACGTGATACCTGTTGTTTTTTTTTTATGTGTTGGGGGAGGATACCTTGGTGTATCTACAAATATATAAGACGGAATACAAAAAAAATCATATTTCAGCTATATGATAAGATGCTACGTTCATATTATTCTCTATCTTGTCTTTGTTGCTGTTAAGTTAGAGGTAGGTATGCTGCCAACCATTGTTACCTACGAACCAAGAAGGTAGGTAGATCTTGACAGCTCATGAGGGCCGTGCTCAGATTCATCCGTACAGGCCAATAGTAGATGCAGTAAACTACCCGAATAGGCCAATCAAAATCGGACTTAGGGCATGGACTACGTGTTTCATTGTTCTGGAAATCCTAATCCTAAGGCCGAGTCGCGTCTGACCACCCACTCCACCATCCGTGCACAGTTCAGCATCATCTTTACTCTTTGCGGCAGGCCCCTAGTTACTCCCGCATCGGGTTACGGCCGCATCAATTATTGCCTTAGATGCAGAAAGTATCATTGTCAACTGAATTCTCACCGTAAACATGACTTGGCGACATTCTCCCCAGATCAAAGCATGGGAAAACGTGGATTTTGGCCCCTTCGTCAGGCTATTTCGCCCCATCCTCTTGCAATAAAAGATAAGCCATTTTAAGGTCCATTATTTTACCAGCTCTACTCCTTTGATTTACGACCTGTTTGACTACTGGGCGTTAGATGTATGTTCCAGGCGCACCGTTGACAATCCGCAATAATCTGACTGACTGGCATGTATAGTTACAATGAGCGCATACGACTAGAAGAGAGGAAACGGACCTTTAATGTCCCAGAGCTTAAGCGCTTAGCAGCTTCATCAAATTGCCAGAAACAGGAAGATGTGATCGGCTTTACAAAGCTTGCCGAGGCAGGCTTCAATACGACCTTCCGAATCACCAAGGGGGACAATTGTAAATCTGTAGCCCGCATCCCATATCCAGTGACTCAGCCACGGTTACTAACTAGTTAGTTAACGTTAATTTAACATAACTAACTAATTAGTCATTGCAAGCGAAGTGGCTAAGTTACTGTGGAGTATCTCCGTTCGCATGGAATACCCGTTCCAGACGTCTATGGCAATTTCGCTAGTGCTGACAACCCCGCGGGAACGGAGTACATTTTTAAGCAGCTTGTTAGGGGGCGGAGCCTGGGCGATGCATGGTTCACTCTATCCCCAAAACAGAGAACGAAACTCATCACTGGAATTGTGGGAATCAAGTCACGACTATTGTTCACTGCGGTTCTAGCAAGTGGCGGTTTCTATTATTGCTCCAACGCGCCTGACAGTAGTAAGGTGGTTATTACAGACTCGTTGCCGACAACAAAAGGGCGATGCTGCATTGACCCGAACACGTCGCTCAGACTAGGGTATGAAAGAAGAGTTAATCTACCGGTGGAGCGTGGACCACGTGAGTATTGCTGCCACGAGCTTTCGAAATTGACTTGAGATCAGTAGCTAGCACTTTGCAGACTCAGACTGCCTCTCAGCTCTCATTGCGGGCGCTAAGAGAACGCATAACTTTCCCGATTCGGAAACCCCTTCTCAGCCCTTCCGGCGCCTTCGGAGGGAGACTGACAACCATAGGCTGCAATCACATCTCATCTACATTACAAGCCTCAGATAGTATCTCCAAACTGCTCCCGGTATCCTTCCTGGAGTCCCAGGCCTACATCGCTCACTCTTCTGACCCCGGGATCTTCACCGAACAGCATCATTGCCTCTGATTGATTGGAACTTAAAGGACTGAATTGACTGGCAGCACAGCACCATACCCCCCCCTTTATATAATGGGACATTCCAACAGCCTACAGAGCTACGGCGATGATGTTTCCGAGTCTCTCCAGGGGCCCAACTTACCCAGAAACCTCAATGAGCTGGGATCGGAAGAACAGGACCAACAGGCTGAATCATTCCGCAGGCGTCAGCCTCACTACCACTATGTCAAGCAGACTCCAGGGGTAAATCCAGAACACCATGATGGGCTGAGATATTTATTAGTAGACTGAGACGCCTCTTTTATCACGCCAGTAATTCATGGGAGGGTGATAACTTGATTCTTAAATCAAACCGCTTTGAGTGGTCGCACAACTGAGTAGGCATCAATGGCAGCAAAGCACAACTTTATACACTTGTGCATTCACCAACTGAGTAGAAACAATGTCCGAGGTTGGCAAGCGCCCAAGATGTAGACGACGAGCAGATGAGAATGTGACAGGATTTTATTCGAGTAGGGTATGAGGAATGGGTTCCTAGTGATCAATTTGAGGACATGAAAGTACGAGAACAAGCATTAAAGAAGGCTTCTTTGGAGGTAGAGGAATTAGAAGATCAGAGAGCGATGGATGAGGACAATTGACGCTTGATGACATTTGTGAGAATGGCTACACGTGAACAGTTGCACTGTATCATACACTTTTTTCCTAGTTCTCATTACACATTTCAATATCAAGGCATGTTTATCTGCGGCTATAAGATCTAATTCTGTTACTACCTTTTCACACGATCATTCCCTGACTGTAGGAACCTCAAAATAGCATCAAATCCCTCCGGCGCCTTAATCCAATGCCCATCCCCATCTGCCCCAACATACTCCAACCACTCCACCTCCATCCCCGCCCGCTTCATAATCCCAATCACCTGCCTCCCCAACTCCACAGAAACTATCGGATCATCTGTCCCATGGACCAAAAGCACCGGCGTACTCAAAAATCTCATATCCTCACCCGCAGAAACCCCCAAAGCCTCCGAACAAAACTCAACCAGCCGTCTCCCCCGATCCAAATCCCCATCCTCAAACCTCTCCGCAAACGGCATCCATCCACAGAAGCCCAAGACTCCCCCCAATCTCCCTTGCACCTTGCTACTCGCGCAAAACCAACTCCACATTGCAGTTGCCATGCCCTGACTAATCCCACCTAGATACACATGTGTGGTCTTACCATTAAGAAGCTCCAATTCTTTTCCCAGGACTTCAAGAACATAAGAGACAGATTCCCGCAATCCAGGGACTTGTGATTCCTGGCGCTCAGTGATATCATCTAGAGAACACGCATCGAACCAGGCACATAGCTCCTCCTGGAAGCGATCGTTCCAGCGGTCTTTGGAGGTGGGAAATACCCAGCGCCAGGTTGGGAGATGGGAGGGAAGATTTTGACCCGCCGATGTCGAAGAGGAAAACAGTTCCTCGGCGAATTCGGGCCCGTTGCTGCCGCGGCCGTGAAGGAGGATGGCTGTGTGGGTGTGAGGGTCTTTCGGAAGGTGGATGTGTGGCTCTGGAAAGTTTGCATTCATAATGTAGGTTTGTAGTTGGGAGTGGACGTGATGTTATTGATGAAAGTTGAGATTATGTGGCGTGGAAGACACGAAGGAAGGCCGTGCGGGGTTTGGCGGGAAGAAGTTGTTCGTTCTCACATCCACTGATTAGTTGCTCCGTAGATTGATTTCAAACCTAGAACCAGTCTGTACCGAGATAGCTCGCAACGGCTCTGGGGTTCAACGCTTGTGATATGCATTGTGTCTATGCAATGATATGATGAAATACGAGAAATATTTCTTCACAGGATTAAAGAGTGTGATAATTATATGAGTAGTCTGGGCTTAGGGATATCTAGAGTGAGTGAGATGATCGGTATAAAATGTGATCATATCTAGTTGAATGTCATTAGTTTAAATTCACACTGACCTTGAATTCCATGTAGATCTAATTCACATTCGACTCACTTCATATTTTCTGAGCCAACCCAGCCTGCCAACTAGATGAACATCTTCCTCATGTCCTCGGCCCCTTGAAAACAGGAAAACCTATGTTGTGTCTCTTATTCTTGGATCGATGATGTCTCCGTTAGTCAAAACACCCTACTGGGGAAGACTGGTGATACACATAGTTGATAGTCCCTCATAGAACAAACAATATGAACAGTCGTATAACGGTGGTCATGTATAGGGCTGAGACCGATGAGCCTTGCCACCGGGCCATTTGGATAAAAGATGCCAACGCAAAGTCTATTATTCTACAGGTTGGGCTGAACAAGGACGGCTACTGCGTATAAGAGCCCAGCCTCAGAGATCCTCTACTATTGAAACGCATCAAGCACGCAGTGTACTGCGGGACCATCCCTTCAAGTGAACAAAGACCTGGCTTTGTCAATAATTCAAAATTACCCCGTCGATAATGAAAGTGCCACCTGGAACTACCTGGCATGGATCATGGAAGTCTTGGAGGGGATGGAGCAGACGGAACTACTGCACATTGCCCCCGGGTCGAAAGCCCCCCAGAATCGATGCGCCAGAAAGTTTTATCAAACTTCATTGAAACACCTGCATCTTGTCGATTAATTACTTCGACCTAGAAACGCTGCTGTTGGTTGTTTTCACTTTTTTTCATTACTGAGACCGAGAGCATAAAAGTAGGTAGAAGCCATTATCTTCCCGCTCCTCCCAGATCATATTATTTGATTCATTGCCGTGTGAGCATACCATTACAAGTTTTCCAAATGCCATTGCCGGGTCATTTACACTATTTTTAAAAATCAGGTCGACTGCATGCTCCTTAGGCCAAACCCCGATCGTTATTGGCAAGTACTCCCACCAATCCTCACAATCGCACCCTGGAAAAATCGTGTTCAATGCTTTCAGGTAGTGCCAGTATTCTGGGTACCAACCACACGTTTCCCAATATATAATACCTGTAATGGTTTCTTGCTCTGACGGCAAGTCGTCTGTACAGGCCAAGGCTTCGGATGCCTGTAGATGCTGTCCATAGACTTCGTCGGGGCCAGATGAGTAAGGGATGACTTTGAGCATGATGTTTCGAAGGGTTGAAGATCTGCATGAGTCATAACTAATTTGTGTCCAGTTGTCATATATGATTGAATTATCATAATTTGACTTGTTTCAGTACGCCGAGGGCTAAAAGACAGGAAATGATTGAACTATGTCTCATTGCTTATCGGCGTGTCAGCCACACGAGTCTCCCTTCTGGTATCTTTACACCAGCGAGGCGTGCCTCCACCGTACAATGCACCAGGTTCGTCGGATGATGTGAAAGAGGGCAACCTTAGCTCACTGAAGGTGACATTTAGTTGCTCTCGGACCAAAGCTTTCTGGTAGGGGCTCAGCGTTTTCCAAATTGAGTCCAGCGGTTGTCCCGGCACACGGGACATGAAGACGAAGTTCCGAGTGGTGCCAGTTTGTTGCAACACACCGTGAGTATCTGATGTAGGAACACGCAAATTATGGTGTTTTAGGTCTTCCACCATTGCTAGATGATGCACATCGATGTAGTTGCCGAGTTTTATAGCCAGGTTTGGGGTAAGACCTAGTACTGCGGTCGATCCAAAATGCGATAGTATGTCACTGTGTAAGATTTGATCATTGAGACCTCTGATCGTGCTCTGGATTTCGGAAGAGTCGCTAGCGCAAGATGAGACTGACTCGGCTGCCCGAGTAACATCCATACTCAATGGACGTATGACAACACTATCCGAGTGGATTCGAAATCCCTCTCTTACAGCCGGTGGGACACAAGACTGGGTTTCAGTGCTCTGTGTTGACTCAGCCTTCACAGCCGAGTCCACTAAAAGTTGACGTAGAGGGGGATGGTTTTTGAGCTTGAACTGTATCAACTTCTACAAATTTGCAGAGGGGTTATTGCTGACTCTCAGTGAATGCAGTTGAGAAATGATGTACTACAGAGTATATTGATCAGCACTAAAAATAACAGGCTCAATACATACGACCACAGGGTGTGGAAAACAGGGCTTCCCGTCCGCTCAGCCGTACTTAAGCCACACGCCGGGAGGTTAGTAGTTGGGTGGGTGACCACCAGCGAATCCCTTCTGTTGTATGTTCTTCTTTCTTTTTTTCCCCTTATTCGCCCCCTAATCGGGTAGGGTCTTCTCGATGCTTTGTCTTCATCATCTCTTGGGGGCAGTATTTCGAAGAAGGCTCCTATCCAGGTTGTGTGACTGACTCGGTTGGACGGGCATATGGCGAACGTAAATACTTCCCCCGACGCTATTCCTGGCCAGAATGTTCCTATCATTTTGAAAGGTACTGATGATTAGGATTTCCGATTGACTCGCTGTAGCCACATATCCGTGTAGGTTACATAGTACAACTTCCAAGTCCGCCTAAACACAGTTTAGCCAAAGAGACGATCGGTTTGTTAGGTGATGAATAGATGTTGTGATCAGAAATAACACGTTTGCTATCTCTTTTTTTCTTTTCTTTCTTTTTTTCCCCATTTGAAAAATAGATCAAATATCTTTCTTTCTTTCTTTTTCAATTTTCCCAATGGAAACTTATGTAACCATGCTAATCTTGTATGATTTGTGTGTTGTAAAGTCCAGCCATATCATATTATATCTACGCAAGTCTGGCAAAATTTTCCAGACTCCGTTCAAGTAAGTCCGAGATGCATCAAGCAGACATATTGCTTTTTCTGTCCCCAACACACTTCAAAAACAATTCAGGCCACGTATCGCTGGTGAAGCCTTACACCGTGTCGTCGGTCTATTTGATATATATCTTGCATGCTTTGACTTCACCAACAGCATTCAAACATGTATATGATATGGAAAGGAGTTATAAAAATATACCATCTTTCTATGGCGTAGTAGAGACGGAGAGGAGAGCTTGAAGGGTCATATGTTCCACTCGAACAAACTTTGGAACTAGTGCGTCCGGCCCACAAAATATTGCATAAGTGGATATAGTACTCGGCTAAATCGACTGATAATACCAGGATTCTGATTATTATATGGTCAACAGATCGATAGTTCGGCTTCAGCTGAGGCGGGCATGAGCGTGGGGAGGGTGGTGTGTGCTTTCCTGGCAGCTGACAGGCCCGTCCCAGTGCGGTCGAGGATCTTCGCGAAATCAAGTTACCAGAGACATTTTCAGGCTGAGAAAGTATGCATGCTTGGTCCAGAAGGGCTGACCAACAAAATGGGTATATAAATGCCTTCCATCCTGGATGTCAGTGTTTCATGGTATCCAACTCATCACAGCAATTCAAGATGGCACAACATCATAATACTAGATCTATTACCCTGGACACCCCTCCAAGTTTCGAACCCTTCACCTTGAGCCCATTGGACCATATTGTCCCTCCAATCCACCTATTCGCATACCTTACCTTCAAGCCCGACTCCCCATCAGATGCCATCCCCGTTCTCCAAAATGGCATCTTGCGCCTATTACACGCCCTTCCCTTCCTAAGCGGTAACATAGTGACGGTAGAAGAGCTGAACGGCAAGCAGAACTCGATGCAAATAACACCGGCAGATGCATCAACGTTCCACCAGTCACCCATGCTTAAGGTCGTGCATCATGCTGCTAAAACCTCCGCCGTGGAGGGCGATGACGCGCAACATGCTAATTTCGTCCCAATTCCTATCCACCTACCCAATACCGATCCGAGCCCTGTATTGCGATTCCAGGCCAACGTGATGACAGATGGTCTAGTGTTATGCGTGACCTTCAACCATCGGATGATGGATGGACTGGGGGTGGTCGCTATTTTTGACTCTTTGGCTGCGTGCTGTCGAGGTGACTCGGCATTCACAGGCATGACTGCGCAGCTTCAAAAAAAGCTGCAGCTTACATCGATGAGGAGCTCCACTCCATACAATATTCGAGATGAAATTAAAGCTGAACCAAAGATTCTGTCCAGCCCAAAAAGTCGGAAATTTGCCCTGTCCTCAGAAAAGATCAGCATGCTCAAGCAAAAGTGCAACTCTATGTTCTCCACAACTTCTGGTCAAACACTTAAACCTAATTTAACAAATTTGGATATTCTCACCGCGCTTATTTGGATTTCCGTCGCCAGAGCAAAGCAAGCATTATCACCAACTACACCCAAAGACACACCTTCCACATTGTCCTGTGTCGTTGATATTCGGTCTATTCTTCGTCCCAAGCTAGGCACCTATATAGGAAATGCATTGATGCGCGCTAAATGCGTACTGTCTACTCGATCCACTTCAGGCAAAACCCCAGACCCCATCGCCGATATCTCATTAATCCACGAAGTCGCCTTACAAATCAGAAACGAGATCCGAAGCATCACCACCGAGCAAGCCACCAGCTACGTCTCCCACATCAACACCCTGGACGATTGGAGCTCGTTGCAGGCTCAACGGCCCGAGCTAGTTGTGAGCAGTATCCGCCATTTCAATCCGTATGGATTGAATCATGGCACTGTGTTGGGCCCAGTGGTGACCTTCGATATACCTGATCCGAGACTTAATGGGGTCTGTTGGATTATGCCTGCTAGGCCGGGTTCTGGTGGAGCCAAGAAGACGCCATTGTGGGAAGTGAGAATTGTGTTGGAGGAGCCTGTTATGGAGTGCTTAAAGAGAGAGCCGCTGTTTTGTTGGGCGTCTGATATTAGTCGGACGATCAGTGATTCGAAGCTGTGATGGTTGGAGTTCAGGCTTTGTATCGATATATTATACCACTTGATTCTATTGGTCGCCTGACCAGGCGCAAGAGCATCACAACCGATTCTTTTTGAAGATAAATATCCGTTGCATTCTATCTATGAGACTTTCTTGTGTAAATATCATTTATATGTGGCTATACTATTCCATACACTATCGTCATTGACTCACACTACTCTATGCCAAGATCACACTTTTAGCAGCTAGTGCATCTGCTTTCGATATGCTGCTTGGGTCTGGGTATGGCCTTTCACTGATACCAAGAACGCGGTGACCGAATTACTCTCCAAGCCCTTCACAGTGGAATGAAGCAGAATGGAATGTACCCCAATTATCTTGGATAACTATATTCATTTTTCATGTGTCTAATAATGATTCCTGAAAGAATGAAAGTCTGATATCATCCCGATTTCTTTATCTTAATCTATGTGTCTTTAGAACAATATTCTAGAAATTTCGTGGTAGATTTTAGTCTTTGTACTATGAGATGGTTACATAAAAGAGCTGATTGTCTTGAAATCTGGATATCATAAATTTCTCAATAACGGTTGCAGCAAATTATGCAAGGAGATCATATAAGTATATTGTACATAGATGAATTTCATATCCCAGGAGTAAATAGGTCAGGAATCCCGGAGACCATACTGAAAAACTGAGATTTCTCGAATGATCTATCCTATTACTTTTACTTTTCCTTTGTTAAATGGTACAGAAATTCTTTCATTGATATTCAGGTATCAGGTACTATTGGAGTGTACACGATTAAGGTAGATATTATCTAGTCAAGTAAAGTAGAAAGTAGCCATAATAGACTGAGTTGAGCTAGGTGGCCGCGACTACACTTATGTTATTGTATATTCTTGTCTCTTATTTATACCTTCTCTTTCAGATTCAGTTGACTATTAATGCCTTTATTCACCGCTTCTTATCTTTCATCTTATAAGAGAATTGAGCTCTACGTCAGGCTTAGTCTCAGAAGCACGCAATTTCAAATCGCGTCCAAGCATCACTAGAGCCAGAAAGGCTCTATCGTGATCATATGGGAGGGATTATTTACTCAGGGCATACCAATGCGACAGGTTTTCATTTTTGGGGGGGGAAATGTGAGCGTGACGGTGTCAAAGTGAAGCCGGAAAACAGAGAGAATCACATCAATAGCGCAGTCAATCATTCAAGTGGAGCCAATGGCCGATGCGTGTTCTGAGCTTTTGAATTGGTAGTTCTTTTTTACGGATACCTGAGTGGTAAATACCTGAAGGAAACTCACCATAATGTGCATCAGGAGTGGATTCTGACAGTCAATTACATGCTCTTCAGGCCAGAGACCGGTTATCATTGGCAAGTACTTCAGTATCTTAAATATCACCCTAGCTGTAATAATCATGTGCTAGGAAAGCAGGTTGTCAATACCGGACGATGCCTCCAATGCTTGTAGATGCAGTTCACCGACTCCACTGAAATTTGCTGAGTCAAGTCACAAAGGTGCGTCGAAAATGAAGGATCTTATGGTTTCAGCTATTTGAACTGGAAAATCAGCCGATGATCGACTGGCGGATTTGGCTCTATTTACGATGATATGGGAATATACTGCCTTCAATGCCAGGCCCTTCGACATGGTATGGAATCACACTGAATAGCCACAATTGGAGTTCCTTATATGGGCCATGTCGTAATCTGATGGTGTAGACAGGGATCATGCAAAGAATTATGTTCCTGAGCCCAAGTCAAGAAGTGGAGAAAGCGGAAGGAATGAAGAGGATATTTCCGGCAGATGTGCGGAGCCACGATAATCATGCCCAATGCGGAGTAGTTAATCGTGCCCACTAGAGACCCCAAAGCAAGATCTCCGTGCCTATATAGACCACCTACCTCAGCTTGATCAGGCAGTAGAATTAGATATCTTGGATCCTTCATGTTATCATCCAACCTGTCAGTACAGTTCACTCGCTCACCATGCGGTCTTCCCGGCTACATCTGGCCTTTGCTGCCGTGGTGGCAGCTCGGAGTTCCCTCTCTAACTGCACCAACCCGGCGGTACGCATCGAATGGAGCAGTCTGGATTCATCGGAGCAGATAGCGTATCTGGACGCCGAGCGGTGTCTCTGGGACCTTCCCGCGGAAACGCATCTGTCCAATGTCACTGACCGGTACACTGATCCGGTTGCTGTACACCAAAGCCTCACAGATTATGTTCACGGGGATGGGGTCTTCCTCCCCTGGCATCGATACTTCGTCCACGCCCACAAAACCCTCCTTCGGAAGCACTGCAATTACACTGGCCCAATCCCTACGTAAAACTACTATATGTATTCTTTACCTTCATCTTTTTCTTGTGGCTGATTGAGGTTTTCTGCAGATGGTGGGACGAGGGAAAGGATTCCGGTGCGTTTAGTAACGCCTCTATCTTCTCGCCATCAACATTCGGCAGCATCTCCGCGGAGTACTCCATATAGCGGCATTGCTGCGCATCAAAACCAGCTTCGCTACGTCTGTGTGACAGATGGGGTAAGACTCCCTTTATTTGTCTCTCGCACTGGGAGGCGATACTAGATAAATCTCCCAGACCTCCCCACTGACAGACGTTATGCTTGTCCACTAGTATTCTGCAAACACTACCCTGCACATCGGCTTTGGCATGGAGGAAACCAACCACTGTGTTTTCAGGGATGTCAATGAAAACCAGAGCAACATCACAAGTGATCACTAAGCGGAGATGTGCAATTCCTATGGAAACTGCACTGATATGTTCGATTGCACCTTCCAGTATCTGCACGGCGGGGGCCACGGCGGCGTCGGCGGAGTGATGGGCGATGTATCTGGATCCCCCGGCGACCCCGTCTTTTTACTTGCACCACGGCTTCATTGACCGGAACTGCTGGGCTTGGCAGTTTGCCAATCCAGATAAGCGGCTACACCATCGAGTCTGGGCCATCCACCGGCTGGGTCGACGTCACCCTGGACTACAATCTCACTTCGTACGAGATCATTCCTGATGCGGCCATCGAGCAGGTGATGGATACGGGAGGAGGTTACTTGTGTTATACTTCTGACTCCTAGAGAGGCGTGGGATTCGGGAGAATGAACCACCGCGAGAGAGAGCTCATTTCTGCTTCGTGGCTGCCGCGGAGTGGAGTGCTCCGAATATTCAAGGTATTGAAACGGTTTATAGAGAGGACAGTACCTATAATAGTAGTATGTCTTTACTATCGGAATTTGGGTTCTGTCAAAAACAGAAAATCATCCTGGAGCAAAAGCATTAAATTTAGAGGTGACAGCCAACAAAGCCAGATGGAAATCTGGCATAAGCAACCCCTACAATTCTATTCCGCCCGAGATACCTCGTAGTGACGGCTTCAGGGAACCGAAAGTATATGTTGTAGATGGAAGTCTCATATAATTTTCGGAAACTGGTATCGAAACGTCAAGTAACCCCACGATGTCCGTTGAATTGTTAGAGCGAGGAACAGTGAATCTTTTTCTCTTTCCCGTACCTTTACTATAGGACATATATTATTGTCATACGGTACTGGAACTTGGTTGATATGTTTAAGCAGCTGTCAGGTCTAGACACTGATCCCTGGAGACATCGGCTCGGTGTAGGGCGGTGGAGGATCCGCAGTTTTCATGAAGAGCTCATATCTGAGTTGGCGTAGATCCTGCTGTGCGGTCTCAAACGCCATTCGCGCATCTTCCACTTGGGCCTGCATATCATCTTCACGGGACTTTGCCTGTCTAACTTGCGTTGCCAGAACCTCTTCCGCACGCTTCACCTCGAGAACAGACTGCTGCATCATGCCCAAAAAGTCGGTGTGAAACAGAAAGGTGCCAAAGACCAGCTCACCAACCCAGTCGTGCTGAACAATGTTCATGGCCGGCAGAGCCTGCACTCTGGGATCCAGTCGTCTGGCCTGTGTGACTAGCATTTGCGTCTGGGTAACCTTCTGTTGTGCCCGGGACAGACAGTCTTGCTGCCGCCAATCCGCCAGGGAGCTTCCAAAACTCCACAGATCCCTCTCACAGTACCGCAGCGTTTCTGCCAAATTCAGCAGCACCTCTCGGAGCGTCAGCTGCGCTCGCGCCAGACACTGCGTCGCCTGCCGAAGATCACTCCATAGTTCGCGCCGTTGCCCATATTCGCGCCGCGCCTGCTTTGTTGTCTCCTCCTGCGCATCCTCCTCGGGGAACTCTTCCGTCCGTCCCTCAAAAATCCGCTTGTAGATGGCATCCAATTCGGCATGCAACCGTTCTCTTGTAGTGCATGCACGCCGGAGTTCCTTCTCTTGAGCGACCGCGTCCGCGACCTGCGCCTCCAGCATCTCCCGCTGCGCCTGCGCACGGTTCTCCTTGGCTAGAGCGTCGTAGTAATCGCGCATCTCTTGGTCGGCTTTGGCCTCAAATTCCTCTCTCTTGCCCCTCGCTCGATAGAACAGACGGCGTACTGTGCTGTCGCGGTACTTTTCGTGCAGCTCGCGGTTCCCTTTGGTGATCTTGTGTAGTTGCGACAACTGTCTATTGATATTGGTCAGCTCGTTCCGGAGCTCGGCCAGGTAGTTTTCATGCGACTGGAGAGACTCTGGACTGCTCTCTACACTAGCGAGTTCGGCTTGGATCTGGTCATGGCGCTCCTTGCTGGTTGCGATATGGCTGTATATTGACATGTTTGGACGAAGTAATTGGTGGGGGGATATTGCTATGTTACGAATCTGGGTGCTTCGCGTGTTACTTTCCCTGCGTATAATGTTGCTATTGCCAGTGTTATTGATAGCCGCTCTGAAAAATAGAATAATGTTCAGAAGTGAATTTGAGGAGCCGCTCCTTGTTAGATGATCTCTTTCTACACAGAGAATTCGCCACGCGGGATGACGGCATCATGTAGTCATCCCGTGACCTCTGTTTAGCTCTTGAGAACACCACTCTATAGTCCTAAGCCCATAGGTTGTATATATCAGATTGACTGAGTACGAAACTACTGATTAGATAGTTATGCTTTTGAGGCGTATTTGGGGCTGCGATTCATTCCTGGTCAAGGGGCAACCTAGGTCGTTTACAGATTCCATCAATGGGAAGGGCTGCATTATTGCTGCAATAAACAAGAATGGAATTTGTCTCTGACTCTCCTTCACGGTGCTTCAGCAGTCGGGGGTTGGAGACATGAGCCCAACATGTGTACCCGAGCCGCGTTGAATGTGCATAATCTAGCCCCATCATGTGGTCCGGCTGTTCCTGCGGGGTAGGGGATCTGACATGCTCTGCGCAAATGGATTTCACGAAATGCATCTGCAATTCACTGTGTTAACCAATTGGTAATTCATGTATAAGTAACAGCTTATATATAACATTTCAATCAAACTGTCCTGAACGCTATGTCTAGCCCGCGATTATCGCCGTACGCCAACGAGGAGTACACCGTGGGCTGGATATGTGCCCTTCTTGTTGAACTAGCTGCAGCAAGGGGAATGCTTGATAGGGAAGACCATGGAGAGCCCCAGACCTCACCCGCAACAGCAGATCAGAATCGCTACACGCTGGGGACTATCGGTCATTTTCGAGTGGTAATCGCTTGCCTGCCAAAGAACCAGCTTGGCTCGTCTTCCGCAACCGCTTCGGTGAAGGACATGCTATTTACCTTCCCTAATGTTCGCATAGGTCTCTGTGTGGGTATCGGGGCCGGCATTCCTGATTATGAGAGCCGGGATGAACAGGATGTTCGTCTCGGAGATGTTGTTATCAGTAGTGACTCAAAGACTGGGGGTGTCGTGGCCTATGCCCTGGGCAAGAAATTGGCCGATGGCTCGTTCGAGACTCGGTCTGCTTTGACTCTGCCCCCTCGATCGCTAGGCACAGCTCTTGGGGCAATGCAAGCACAACACATGATGGCAGAGAATAAAATAGAGTTCTACATCGAACAAATGCTCGAGAAGCATCCATTTATGCGCAAGAAGGGATATTCGCGTCCGGACCAATCACTGGACCGTCTGTTTAAATTGGAGTACATTCATGCCGCGGGGAAGAACTGTTCGAAATGCGATGATTCGGAGACCGTGGAGCGCGAGGATCGATTTGATGATGCTCCAGTTATTCATTATGGAACAATTGCCTCAGGTGACATTGTCGTTAAGAATGCTGCATTGCGTGATGAGATTCGAGACAAGCATGGGGCTATCTGTCTTGAGATGGAGGCTGCGGGATTGATGAATAATTTTCCTTGCGTCGTGATCAGAGGAATCTCGGACTACGCTGATTCGCATAAGAACGACCGCTGGCAGCCATATGCAGCTGCAGTGGCTGCCGCGTGCGCAAAGGGGTATTTGGAACATATACAGGTGAAGGATGTTTGCGGAGAGCCCCCAGCGAAAGCTATACTTGAGAGGGTGCAAGAAGGTGAGTAATCCCATACGACAGTCCCAGATACATCAGAGCGTTTGCTGATATTTACGATAGTCCATACCGAAGTCTCGAAGGTCGGAAGGTTTGTGACAACTAGGGAAACCAGGGAGGTCCTCGATTGGGTCAGCTCAATAGAATTTGTGGATCAGCAGAACGATATTATCAGCTTGAAACAAGAAGGGACTGGCCAATGGCTTATACCTTCAAAAGAATTCATTCGGTGGTTGAGCGATGATACCCAATCGCGAACTCTCTTCTGTCCTGGGATCCCAGGTGCAGGCAAGACAATAATGGCATCCAACGTGGTAGAGCATTTGAAGAATTTATTCAAGGGCGATTCAAATGTGAAGGTTGCTTTTCAGTTCTGCAGCTACCAGCCGAAACATCGGCAGACTTACCACCTGGAGCTCCTGCAAAGTCTCGTTCGACAACTTGTACTGAAGTCCCCAGATGCAGACCTGCTTCCATGTATTTTGGAGCTTCATGAGAGTCACAGCTCGAATGGTACCCGACCTCGACCTGCGGAGTTGGAGAAAACTATCTTGGAAGCCATTGGGTCTTACTCCGTTGTGTTCCTGGTTGTCGATGCCCTGGATGAGTTCTATTCTGCAAGCCGGGAAGACTCATTGTTGTTTTTTGACGCTCTATGCAAACTTCGAAAAAGCCACCAACTAAAGCTGTTTGTGACATCTCGTTATAACGATGACATCTCTTCTCGTCTTGCTCCTTTTACTTGCAAAGAAATCAGGGCTCACGACGACGATGTCCTACAATACGTGAAAGGACGTATGCCCCAGCTCCGCATTCCCAAGACAACACAAAACGCTGAACTTCGGAATGAAATTCAGTCGGAGGTTGTCAGGGCTGCAGATGGAGTGTAAGGCTACCACATAACTCATTTTGATCCAGCGCTCACCTCCTTTAGTTTTCTACTTGCTAAACTGCACATGAATCATCTTATGGGCTTCCTCACCGTCCGACAATTGAAAAACGCCCTTGTCCAACTACCTTGAGGAACAACCGCCCTTGAGCTAGCATATGATCAGGCGATGCTCCGGATTACATCCCAAGGAGACTCCAACCAAGGGGAACCTGACGACGATGATTCTCAGTCGAAAGTGGCGTTGAGGGCTCTGTCTTGGCTCACGTTCAGTAAGACAGCTCTCACGGCAGACCAGCTCGCACACGCGATTGGGACCAAGCCAGGCATGACGGTTCCCGACCGGGAAAATCTCATGGATCCGAACACTATCGACAGTTTATGTGCCGGGCTGATTGCATTTGATCAAAACACAGGTATAATCCGTTTGGTACATCACACCACAAAGGTATACCTGCTAAGGAGTAGCCATCTTCGGGATGGTGAAGTCGAGATCGCAAAGATTAACCTCACCTATCTCAGCTTTGGCTCTTTCTCAACATTCCGTTGCAGCCATGAATCAAGCTTTGTCCAGAGGGAAAAGCAATATCCTCTTTTTACTTACTGTGCCTCGTATTGGGGAGCACATGTGTCGCCGCTGCTTCAAAAGTCATCTGATTTACTGACACTCTCCTTGCAGTTTTTGGAGTTGGACACCAATGTGCGGGCGTCTGGCCAGGCCCTGATACTTGGCGTTTACAATTACTTCAAAAGGCCTCTGCTGGGTGAGACCCCAATCCCGTGGAGTCACTCTTTCTTGTTGACAAAAGTCCACCTTGCTTGCTACTTCAATCTTCACCCGGTCATTGCTCATTACATCAACCAGGGTGTGGAGCTTAACATGGTAGATTCTACGGGAAAGGTACCTATTATGTGGGCCATTGAGCAGGGTCATGTTGAAACAACACAGACCCTCCTCGAGTCTGGTCGGGTCAATATAGGTTTCAAGGACCAAGAAGGGAAGACTCTTCTGATACATGCGACTATCGCCCAGCATGACCAATTGGCTGAACTCCTCATTATGCACGGTGTTTCTTGTGATGCCAGGGATAACAAGGGCCGTTCTGCTTTAGCCTATGCAGCTACTACCGGGCAGATTGCAATGATTCAACTTCTGACCTCCCAAAATGTCCAGCTTGACTACACTCATGACGCGAAAGCGGTGAAACGTCCGTGTGATGACGACTTGTTCACTTCTCTCTTCGAAGTCGCAGATGCCTTAGAAGAGGACGGTCCGGTCTTTCTTCTTGACGAAGTTGTTGATCCTGTGGGCACCCCTCTCATAAATTCCATCTCTACTGGCCATAGGGAGGCGGCGATTCTCCTCCTTGAGAATGGTGCCGACCCAAATTATGCCAATTCAGAAGGCGACACACCACTGTCAGCGGCAGTGGCTAGAAGAAATGAATATTTGGTCAAGATACTACTTGATAGCGGAGCCACACTTGAGAACTCTCCTTCAACTCTCTACTATGCTATTGAAAGTGGAGATGTGGGTATAGTACGCCGCTTTCTCGAAGCAGGTGCTGATCCAAATCGCGAATACTCTCCGACATCGCTACAAAGATCCAATCCCTGGATTACGTCAATGGAGCCTGTAACTGGTGAAGAGCTATCAACTTTGTTCATGAAAATGGGCAAGTCTCTCGTGACCGGCGTTAATACGTCCAATCTGCCGATCCTTACCGAATCTGGCCTTTCTCGTGCAGCGCTATTAGGTCATGTGGAAGTGCTGCTTGAGTTGCTCAAGCATGGAGCGGACCCTAACCAACAGAATGGGAAAAAAGAGACACCTCTGTTCCTCGCATCCAAGAATGGACATAGAGAGGTCGTGCGGGTGCTTCTGGAAAATGGAGGAAATCCATATATCCAGAACAAGTACCTTCAGACTGCCCTCTTTCCTGCATCAAGATGGGCAAAACCATTGATCGTGGCTACTCTTTTGGATGCCGGTCTCTCAGCCAACACACCAGATATTTCTGGGAGCACACCACTGTTTTATGCGGTTGAAAGCGGGTCGGTAGAGACCGTGGAGCTTCTATTATCAAGAGGAGCCGATGTTGGGCAAATTAACGCCATGTTTGAGACAGCGCTGTTCGGCGCAACTAAGTATGCCAATCCGGAAATATGCCAACTATTACTAGCAGAGGGTGCAGACCTGGGGCAGATGAACCTTCTTCAATGCACTGCTCTATTCAACATAGCCAACGACATTTGCATTTTCAAAGGCGCCGCCCTCCAACACTTCTATCCCCAGAGTCGTGACTTTGACGCTTCTGTAAAAGCCGCAGTTTTTCTGGTTGAAAACGGGCAAGCTTTCGACCCAGAACTGGAAGAAATTCATCGAGGACTGCAGGTGTATATAGCCCACTTCAGCCAACCTATACACCCCGCCGAGGAATCCCCAGAGTACGTCTCCTTCGCACGCGAGCTATGGGGTGACTTGCTGAAGCCCTTAACCGACGATGATGTTTATACATTTCTGGAGCTTCTTTGCATGGGACGAAGTAGAACAGTTGGGCCTTGTGCAAAAGGTCACCTGTTTTGGGTCTCAGTGACAGGATCTTGCGAGTTGGTCTCAAAGGTTCTACAAACGAACGTGGATATCAACGCCAAGGACTCGGGTCTTCTCCAAGGAGCAGTAGAATCTGGAAATGCAGAGGTCACTGAAATGGTCTTGAATGCTCTTGAAGAGGAGACAAGTTCTGCACAATCAACGGCCTCGCTTTTTGAAGCCCCAGTGGTGTCCGGCAATCTTGACGTGGTCAAGGCACTATTCAGTCAGCTTCCCGCAAACCCGGATATTGGGAGAGCTTTGTTTGCTGCCGTTTGGACTGGTAGTACTGAGCTGGTTGACTTTTTCCTTACCAACGTAGATGATCCGATTCTAGTTGACGAAAAGGATTCGAATCTCTTTCACCACGCCGTCGTTGCGGAGTTGTTGGCTATGCTTCAATTCTTGTTGGACAAGGGACCTCTTCAGCAGTTTGATATTAATTCCAAAAACCATTATGGATTTACCCCTCTCCTTTATGTGACTCAGATGCGTCACAATAACACAGAATTTGCAAGGCTCTTGCTGCAGAGGGGCGCTGACCCCAACACTACGAAAAGTCCTAGAGCCGACACTCAAGAGTCAATGTCTAAATCTGATGTACAGAGCCAGTCTGAACTTTCCAAAGAGGTTTTGGACTCGAACGATCTCAGCGCCCGGGAGAATTGGGATCATTGGGTTCTTTTGGCCTTTGCGGCGCACAATGGAGCAGATGATTTGGTTGAACTGTTGCTTGAATACAATGCAGACCCAGATCCCATTAACAAGTATGGCGTCAGGCCAATATGCTTGGCTGCTCTCGATGGACATGAGGCAGTTGTGAGAATGCTTCTTGATAAGAAGGTTGATCCAAACCAGGTTGAAGGCTCGAGTAAAGCACCATTATCATGGGCACTTGAGCGACATTTGGATGCTTATAGATACGATGAATCAAGAATAAGCGACTGGCCAGGCTGTCAAGCGGTTGAGGCGACAGTCAGTCTTCTGCTCGAGCGCGGTGCAGACCCCAATCCAACTGACGGGTTGTCCCCAATCTTGGCTGCCCTCAGGCTGTATTCGGAAGACCTGGTTTTGCTACTACTGAAAGCTGGAAGCAGCCCGCATGTTCGTGACAAGTATGATCGCACGCCGCTAATAATTGCAACCACTCTTGGAATGGCACGAGTTGTCGCGGCTTTGCTGGAATTACCAGATGAATGGACGGACCCAGCCATGACGGATATCTACGGCCGGTCAGCAATAACCGAAGCCACAAGAAGGAACAAAATCTACATTCTGGAGCTACTGACCCGAGAATTAAAAACGGATTCAGTGGCATCGATAAATACATCTGATTATGAGCCAATCAAAGTTCCAAAGAGAGACGATGACACATGTAAAGTCTGCATGGTTCTCACGTCCGACAGCTTCAGTAATTATTACTCTTGCAAGCAATGCCCTTCGTTCGAAATATGCAAAAAATGCAAAGACTGCGGCGTCACATGTTTGAAGCCAGGGCATGGAATGAAGGAGTAAAGCGGCGGTTGAATTGGGGTGGCTCTCTAGCCCATCCTTTCAATCTTGAAAGTCCTAGGAGGGTCAAGATAGAGATTCCAGACTGTGATACGGTTGTGATTTTCTGTTGGCTTTCAGAGATTTACCAGAAACTGCAAAGCGGTATTCGAGGTTGCGCTAGTTTGATGAATGTTCAGTACGTCTTTTATCGATAGTAAATTGCTAATCACGTCTAGTGCTGTTCTTATACATTCCTCATAATCTCCCTACGTTGGACGCTTCTACAGCGTTCCTAGTCTGCTTGCTCAATACTGAAGCTCTCACCCGGCACAGTTTGAGACTGCCTTCCTTTATACCGCACGAACCATCGCAAACGAAAACCCTTAGCAGCCAATTTGTCACGAGTTCCCTCGCGGTCGCTCGTGGACCAAACCAGCCACCTGGTGCCAGTTTCCTCCTCAATCTGATTCCACATATGTGAAAAGCTGGCTGAGTTATGTAGGATGATAGAGTAGTCGAGAATTGGCACCTTCCAGAGTCCAGCATCCTCCCTCCCTAACTGGACACCGGTGATCAAGTCATCCTCTTGCAGAAAGAGATAGCTAACCATGCATTTAGCAACGCCTACCTGTCCTTTAAAATCCCATAAATGCAGGAAGTAACCAGAATTTATGACATGTATGTGGCCAGCTATTTGGGCAAGTTTTGCACTAGGCTTCAAGAAGTCTTCAATAAGGAATGTCGAGTATAAGGTAGCCCTATCCCGAAATAGATCAAAACCGAGCTCTATAAGTTGCTCGTCTTTGTCTAAGCCGACAAGGTTCTCGGCTGGGGCGCCATCATAGTAGGTAGATCGCTCAGTGTGCGGTGGACCTTGCCTTTTGAGAACTCCAGGGTGTTTTCAAGAACATCTATTATCAAGCTCACCCATGAATAAGTTCGATTTGAAACCGCAGTAAGTTTATGTATGAGCATCTCGCACTCTCCATCCGTCAATGATCTCTGTCTGCTGATATCGTGCACTCTTGTCGAGGTAACAAGGTTAATTTCTTGTGAAATCTGCTCAGCCTCTCTCTCACCATCACCACTAAAATGTATTGTGGGTAGATTTTTAATGAGATCGGAGAGTCCACGCTGTATATGCTCATAGGGTCTACTTGTGAACAAAAATTTCAGTTTGCCATTATCATGGGGGCCTGAGTAGTAATCGTTGACGGCATTGATGAGCCGGTTCTCGGACTGCAATATCTCAACAGATGCTGTCATAATCTTATCCAGTTCACCGTTTCTCGCAATTTGCGCTCGGCCTGGACCCAGAGATAGTCAGATGCGGAGGCAGGTCTTTCTAAATTTTCACGCTTGGGTGTCGGGCTTTTTGAGGCTTTAAAGCCTTCCTTGCTAGGAGAGGTGCCTCGGGTAGATTGTGTTTTCTTCTCATGTTGTCTTCTCCTGAAAAGTGAAGATTTCGCTTTGGTGAGAAGGTCGGGCATCTCTCGACTATACGTCTTAAAGAAGCAATGTATATAATGAGCTCGAACCGTTCATCCAGTATGCTATTGTGAATGACCTACCCTGTCCTTTACCAATGCCACGAGCCGGGGCGTGAGTTGGCACAGCAGGGAAATGGCGGCCAAAATTAACCAAGCACGCTCTATAATGGTACATGGTCATGCCTAGTCCTTGGACCAAACTAGAACAGGCTAGCGTTTTGATCTTCCACTTGATAGTGGAGAATCATGTCAACATATTTTCTCTCTCGTGTTGAAAAAAAATGGAAAGAAATCTCGACATCGGAAAGGACATATTTATCAGATGCTTGATTATGATGAGGCAGTATGGCATTGTTATCTTTTTAGACAGGCTTCGCTGCCGATTAGATCCAAATGCTTTACTTCGTTAAATGGAACAAATGACTGGTTTTTATAGGGACATAAATCAGTGTCCTCAGGAGGTTTTAGTTCATGCGGAGTACGCAGCTATGTCCATAATGATAGAATAGGTCATTGTTTTGGACACCACCATACAGCCACTCATAAATCCCATATACATCACATATAGAATAGCCCACAAGATATAATAAGACATTGACCCCTAATTCTGCCAGCAACAAGACCAAATACACTCAAGCTGTGGCTCTGTGCTAGAACAATAACATACCGAAGTCAGCACATTCCAGGCCTCATGTGAGGACTGTTAAAGGGAGCTTACCTCAGTCTGTCGTCTAGCAACTACAGAACGGCGCGGGGTCACCCAAGGGCCAGGCGCAGCATCCACCTCCACACTGGGCGGCCTCTACCCATCGTGCACCATTACAGATTGCCACGGCATTGAAGTCGTCGGTGCAGTCGTAAGTGCTGCCGCCGCTGCAGGCTTGACCGATAGTGGCAGTTCCATAAACGGAGGTGAGAAGTGTGGTAGTGAAGGCAAGGGTGAGAGCTGAGAAAAGTTGCATTTTGGGGATGCTAAGAAGCTGCTTGGATCAAATTTGAATATTGCGGAAAGTGATGAGAAAATTGATGATGCGATGGCTTAGGTATGTATCAGGTAGTTAGCATGGCGACTTGAGATGGTATTTATAATACTCGATGAACTTACTATACTTGTGTAGGTGACCAGGCTTGGATTGTGCTAGTGTTGAATACGAGTGCTCGTACAATCCTTATGAAGTATCTAATGGACATGAATGGACAGGAATGTGAGGCGTCCAAAGAGTTGCTTGACTGAGCCCGATGCTCGATGTAAGTATTGTTGGATAGACTCATAGCCACCCTTGGCTCTGCGCGAAGCTTTAGGTATCTAATGGACTCCTCCCGGATACTCCGGATAGAGCCTGATGGCTGAGGTATGCTTACTGAAACGCGTAGGACCGATTAGGGTGATGCAGTTATGCCTGCATTTGATACAGTATGCTCACGTCATTTTTAGATTTGATATGGCTGATCTGACAGCCAAGGACAAGATTACGCTGTAGTCGCTGTGGAATATTCGTTGGAGACTCTGTGTTGGTTAGCCGAGGGAGGATGCTATGCGTGGACATGTAGAATTGAAAAGAGCCCAGAGGAATATTTCAGAAGCCACTACACGTGGGTGACTTCTGAATGCAGTTGCGAGCTAGGTAGGTATAGCCTTTAGCCGAGTGCAAGTCATTTTCAGTGATAATATCTCTTGCTTATTCTCCGCCCCATATACGAGATTGAAATGCAGGGCGATGATCTTCCCGTGTTGGCGTGTTAGGCCTCCCACAGATCGACATCGCTAGATCTTGGTTCTGCGGGGCAGGACCCCTCGAGGTAGATGTATTTTGTATGTTAGATGGTGGCCTGATCTGAATACAGAGGAGTCTGAAGGCGCAAACGCCGGATGGGACCGGATTCATTGTCAAGAGTTAGTTCCTGCGAGGCATTATTCCACTCTCGACAGGACTCCGGGTACGAGATATAACCGGACGATATTATCTTTATACGTAAGAATATTATCATACCAATTTATTGGAGGTATACCTGGAGGAAGAAGTTGTCCTCCTAGGGAACCGATCTTCTTAGGTGATTGGCAATGTTCCTAAAATTTAATGCCTCAGGCCGCAAGAATTTCAATGCCTGAGGCCACATGAACTGCGTTCGGCAAACTTTCCGAGGGGGTATTATTCTTGCCAGAAATTTACCAAACACGTTCCCAAAGTAGAAGGCGGGATAGCTCCTCTTCTACTTTCCTCTTCTGGCTAATGTGTTTTGCCCTCAGCTTCGTCTTGATCGAGCACCACCCATAAACACGTGGGAAACCAGGTCTGCTGCTCGGAACGTTGCTGGGGAACCTGGGAAAGAAGTAACCACTGCCAAATGAATGCAGTGAGAACATGCAGCAGATTCGGCACAAATCAGCCCGTCAGGAATGCGGGGATAGGACCCTCAAGCTAATTCAGTCGGGGAAGCGATAGCCCGTGCACCAATCGCCGTGGCAGATAGCCAAAGGTGCCCACATCCCGACATTAGTATTGACCGACAGGTCAATCATATCGACCGCTGCGGTAAAGCTGGTGCCTGACGAGATTTCACTAGCCAGGGTACTTATTTGAATGGCAGCGTTGGAGGAAGCTCGTATGATTGACCCCTGGACAGCCACAAATGAAAATGTCGGGGAAGCTATTGACCATCTTTGCGTGCAGCAGCTTGCTGTTCGGGTCGCTCATGGGCGCCCAAAGGCGCGTAAATATGTTCACCCTAGTGACTTGCTTATTGTTGACGAAATTGACAGTGACACTATCGTGCTTCCTATTCGATACGAAACCAGCTTGGGATTCGCGAACTATACCCAGCAGGGAAACGCATCCTGCTTCACGCTTGACCAGAAAAGCTCATTGGTTACCCTAGACTACGATACCGAAGTTGGGGGATTCCCCTTCTTCCATGTGGACTCTCTATCCACTGCAGTCCAAATTGAGGCCAAGTACACCGAATCCAAGACCGGTCTTGACGAGCCGTTTGGTGATGGCCCGTGGACGTTCTCCAACGGGCTCTCTAATACCTTCCGCGTCGAAACGTTCAATGTCACCTCACCCGGGTCGGTGGAATCCTTCTTCATTCAAGGGGGTCTTCGCTGGCAAAACCTCAAGCTCCTCACGGAAGGCAGTGTTCGCATATGCGAGGCTGGTATCAAATCGGGGAATGACCGCACTCCGGTAAACAAACTGCCAGGATTTTTCGAGAGCTCGAACAGTCTGTATAATGAAATATGGGTCTTGGGGCCACGCACAGTCCAGCAAGCATGCATTGCTGCAGATACCGCGCCATCAACATGGGAAGTCGCTGACGAAGGAGTGTACCTCCGTGGACAGTAACCTGCTCAATCAGTGGCAGGAGCGTCCTTTAGCAACTACACCATGATCTTCCAGACCAAGATTATCCGTGGAGGAACAGGTTGGAAGGTCGCCGCTGGTGTAGGCGGATTTGGTCCTTATTTTGTTCTTGCCAGCGAATACCCTGCTGGCTCGAATTTTGTCAATACCAACCGAACGATCGTCCCTGCAAACACACTAGCTGTGGGTTACGGGTGGAATCTTGTGAATCAGACCTCTCTCACCACCGGAAAGGTGAACCATTACTCCTTACCTTTCAACATTAAGGAGGGAGAATGGTATGAGATCTCGACTTCCATCAATGCGACCGGATACGCTGTTACCATCAATGGAACCGAGACATTCGTGGCACTGGATGACCTGCAAATCGTATCTGGTACTACTGGCTCCTCTGGCAGTCTGACAGGCGGTACCTGGGGCTTTGGGCCCTATCAGGATCAAATCGCTCTTGTCAAGGATGTGGAGGTCATTGCACAGAATGGTACCCAGCTGTACTGGAATCCGATGACGCTCAGCTCCGTCCTTCAGGAATACGGAGTGATGGCCAGTAAGCACTCCGTCTGTCTGGACGGCGCGAAAAGGGACCGTCTTGTCTGGAATGGTGATTTTGTACACACTTATCGCGTCATCCAGTCCAGCACCTATCGCTCCGATTTTATAACAGGATCACTAGAATACTGGATAGACCGTCAGGCACCAGACTCGTCGCAGTACGCTGGCTACTTCAGCATGTCACCTGCTATGGGCCAATCGGCGAAATATGTTGACACGTATGCTTCTTTCGGACTTCTTGACTACCAGATTTTCCTTCTCAACGTATTTGCTGGCCACTACAGAAACACTGGCGACAAAGCGTTTGTGGCCAAGCATTGGACAAAGATCAAGAAGGGCGTGGAAGCCATCCTGCCTTTGATCGATGACCAATCTGGATTGGCCGTCGCCACCAACATTGGGGCATTCTTCTCGGGGTCCGACAATGGCACTGCAGTATCGGGGCTCCTTGCCCACACACTCGACCAGATGGCTGATGTGGCGTCCGCGATGAATGAGACAGATGTCGCGACAATGTGGACTCGTTCGGCGACTTCAATCAAAGCTGCGATCAGCCAACGGCTCTGGAATGCCCGCTTGGGATACTATGCGACAGACCTGAGCAGCCCGACCGAGCAGTCTATTACCGGCACTGCCTGGGCCATTCTTGCGGGTGTCGCTAATGCCACGCAAGCAGAATCCTCCCTCACGGCATTATCCTCTCTTCGGCTTGGAATCGGCTACAAAACGTCGAGCTCCGCTGCCAACTCATCAACGACTAACCTTGCGCCTTTTCTCACCGGTTTCCTGTTAGAAGCAATCTTGCAGGAGAGTCGCAATAGCCCCAACTCAAGCCAAGCCAGATCAACCACTATTAGCGTGCTTCTTGACCAACTTTGGGCTGCGATGGTGACCCAGGATGACTACTATACTGGTACAACTTGGGAATACCTTTACCCTGATGGCCGACCCGGGCTTGACCTCTACACGTCGCATGCACACCCCTGGGCAGCTGCGCCAACGTACGTTTTCTCAGAATATGTCCTCGGTGTTCAGGCGACTTCGGCAGGATTTTCTGAGTGGGAGTTTCGTCCCGCAATGTTGGATGTGAATGTTTCATGGGCACGGGGAAGAGTGCCCACTCCTCGTGGGGTTATCCAGGCTAGCTGGCGGTTGAATGGGACGAGCGTGCAGCTGAGCGTGTGTGGCCCTAGTGGTACAGAGGGAGTCGTCAGCGTGCCATTTCATATCAAGTCGTATTCAGTAAATGGAAAACAACAGATAGATA